AAAGCTTGATTTGGAGGAGCCACAGTTTGCAGAGTCTCTATAAGAGGTAACTGTGTGTCGATGAAATGAAATAAGTCCCTACAACTAAGATTAGAGATGTAAATGGCTCTTGCTCTTTTAGGCATGAAATGTACAGGACCAACAGCACCACATTTATAAATTACTGTCATGATCATGGATCATCCTTTTATCCAAATGTGCATTGTCTGACGAAGGACACTGCTCAAATTGATGTCAGGAGGTTTAAATTCAAAATCTTTCCATAAGTATACTGGGAAAAGTCCTTTTACAGTGGGTTGTTTTCTTCACAACTAAACTGCATAGCTGTATTATGTATCCAAGACCGTACGCCTAGTGCATGTGAATTGAAGGTGCGCCCGTTAACTGAATGCTGGATTTGATGCTCTTTCCTTTCCTTACTCTTGTCCCGTAATTTAGGCAATTCTCTTGCTTCCTACATGAGGTACAATATATGTCCACTGAAGCAGAAAGCATTTTGAATATGTAAGCTCTTGATCTATTCCTTTGTTCCTACTCTTCACACTGAAGCTTCCTTAGGACGGCGTCCATCGTAAATCAGATGACAGAAGATCTATGAGGAAACTGCTCCCATGGGAGAACACAGTTTCATTGTGCATTAGCCATTTAAAAATCCTCGATGCATGCCCATTCAGGCTTATTTTTCTGACCAAGCCCGTCCTTGTGATGGGCGGGCCTATCGGATGGCCGAGCTTGTCTATTAGGTAGGTCTAATCCAAAGAAAGATGTGCTCTGAAGTTCTACAATTCCATATCTCCAACGTCTTTTCCTCCCTTTTGCTTTAGGACAGATGCTGAATGCGTTAAGGATCCAATGCACAACTCAATCTATGAGTAGCGCACGAGCCCCGGCGGCTTTTCAAGTCTGAATCAAGTATGAAGGCTAGGAAATATCAGGGCATGACTGAGGGTAAATAGCAGAAGAGGATGGCGGGCGCCGCAATTTTTTGGGTGGAGTGGGCCAAGAAATTGTCTACCTGCTCAGTTAGAATGCCTAGTTGCTCCAATGTTCTATCTCATGAGAGAGCCAGCTAGTGCTTGCTAAAAGTGAAAGTCATCTGGTTGGTGGGATGGTGTAGAGTTGGGACCTAGAGGCTTCCTTGCCAACACTCATTTGAAGACAAAGTCCGCTTAGGTGGTTCCAATTATAGACTTCATTATCTTAGAGTTGGGAATGAGTAATATAACAGGCAGAGATAACTGTAGACGAAAGTTCAAATTAGAAGCGTTAGAAAGTCCAACTTTCAATAATTAGTTTTAAATCTTAGGATTAAATTGACATCAATACAACGTTAGGGTATGTGAGTGTATGTATATATATATCCTATGAATGTGGAAAATATCCTAATTATGTCTAATATATGAATCAATGCATAGATTATCCTTGATTGATATGTTAGAAATAATTATGAGATTCTTCATATCTCATAATTAGTTCTAAATCTTAGGATTAAATTGACACCAATGCAACGTTAGGGTATGTGAGTGTATGTATATATATCCTATGAATGTGGAAAATATCCTTATTATGTCTAATATATGAATCAATACATAGATCATTCTTGATCAATATGTTAGAAATAATTATGAGATTCTTCATATCCCCTTTGATTCTCCATATCCATAAATGATATAACAATCATGAGATTTGGAGAATCAAGAGAGATATGAATAATCTCATAATTATATTTAATACATCAATCAAAGAAGATACATGCATAATCATGAGAGATTGGGCATATCTTATTAAATTTTAATTGACGTTGTAATATTGTATCATTTTAAATAGTCATCTTGTAAAGCATATATATACCGAATGTATTTTGCATTATGAAATACAGATAAATTATACGATTCTCTTCTGCTATATTCTTCTCTAGAAGCACATGCTTTTTAAACTTAGACTTCACCACTCCACTTTTCCCCCCATCCTAACTCTCGAGTCCTTGGACCATGCTTAAGAGCATTTCTGTCCACCAAAACAGAAGGGAACTCTTCCCCTACTCTCTGCTCTGTTCCAAAAGAGATAGAATTGGTGTATTAGATCCTCACACGCTCAAGATAGCAATTGGTCTAAGCATACTTTATTCGAAATATAATGAGAGTGTCTTTGAAGAATGTCTAGAGACTCTAAAGGGCCCAATGAAAAGTGGGATCTTAGGAGAGCTCCATTAAAGCCATGGAAGCAACAGCTCACCCTCCCAGGCCGAGGCATTTTGTTTAAGTGTATATCATGACCAGAAATGGGAGAGTGAAACAAAATGGCACAAGAGAGTCTAGGACTGACGAAAGAATTAATTTGTTTTTTTAGGCCAAGAATGAGAGCAAGCATTAATGTTTCTTTGAACCCCACGATGATCCAGAGTTGTATACTTTGTAGTTATTTCCTGATGGGAAATTCTATGGTCCCGCGTTGGATACACGAGGCCGGTCCCGCAATTTCCGTAAACTATTAGATTAATTTGAAAAAAAGGACGATTGGATCCTCTTTGAAAGATGGAACCTATTATCTTAGAAATCGATTTTAGGTCGTAATTTACAGGCTACTTTAGTAAATAGAAAAATTACACGAGAGATCGATTTTAAGTCATCACGATAAATAAAATTTACAAACTCAAAAGTAATCAAACTTATATTTGATTAAGGGAAATTAAAGACTCAAGGGTTGGCCAAATTTACCGACTCTAAAGGAAACAAGCCCGGTTAGGTATTAGACTAATAATGGGAGAAACGTTCTTTACTATTTTTTTTGGGTACGTTACTATTTCTTATGGAAAATTACGAATAAGGAGAACCAAAGTACTCTGGATGTTGAAAGGGAAATTACTCCACAAAAAAAATGGTTGTGCGATGATTTTTGATCGGCAAATTGTTATTAGTAAGGATAAATAGTCACGTAACCGATTCAATCAAATCATGTGTAAAATGAGTGGCGATGCATAAAATAGCACCATAATGATTTGATGATACATGCCCTCTTAACTTCTTTTAGCTCGCCAATAAGTATGCGACTCTGCTGGTAAATAAATTCGAGAGGTGAATAACGCTAGTATCACAGATGCGCGGGTCGACTTTTGGATTCTGCAAGATGCAGATCAAAAATCAGAAAGTGAGAAGGGATTTAGAGATAGGACAGATAAAAAAAAAAAAAAACCTCTTTTATCTCTCCATGCTTTTTCAAATTAAAAAGATGAATTTTATTACAAGTATACCGAGGGAGGGAAATAGAAGAGGTGGATTATGTCTTTGAACGATGGAATTTGTTCCAAATGCTTTTGGCGTGGCGTGAGAAAATAAATTTTAATAAGGAGGTATGATTTTCGCTGTTCCCGTGTCCCATATACTGTTTGATGGTTACGAGAGGTGTATATTTATTTGAGCGTTATGCTCGTATCTTATTTTAGTATAACTATTCTGCGAATTATCGATTACAATTTTCTCATATTGCCACCGACACGCTTTCGCACTAGACAAATGGTATTAAAGCCACATTTCCATACTCAGTAAGGCGGTGCCCTCTGTACAGGAGAGGGACCCGGGGAGAGAAGCAAGCCAAATGAGAGAGAATACCAAAACAAAAAGAAGCGTGCTTTGGAAATGGAGTCCTCCTAGCATTCATTATTGGAAAGGGTAATTTAAAATTTTATGGTATGGTGTGTCTTCGGCCATTTTTGGTTATGGATTTAGCTTCCTGGTTCTCATTATCTATGTGACGGATTTGAGTATTCCGAGCTTCAATTTTCCTTTTAGGAGTACAAAAGCCAAACCATGGTCTTCAAATTCGCCACAACCGATCTCACTTACGATCCTCCCGATTTTGATTCCGACTCGCCGCCCACTTCTCAATCACCGACGGTTTGCCTGTCATGTATTTCCCGGTTGCACTTTCAAGAAACCCATAACATCCCCCAGGCTGTCGCCAGGGCTTTGCTGCGCCTAACATTTCATCGGTTGCACTTGCAGGCCAAATGAATCTATGGAGCTCCGGCAGTGACACCTTAAAAGGTTCGCTTTCGGTGAGCTATAGGCAGCTACCAACCACTTCAGCGACGAAAAGATTGTGGGCAGGGGCGGGTTCGTTGCACTGATTAGCATCTACTTAATGTGACAATCCTATTTTTGCAAGTTCCTGTCTTCCTTTATAATTCGCCAACACAACCGGCGAGCCCTACCGTTTGGAGAGCTCACTAGGCTGCCAAAAAAACAAAAAAAAAGAGGAGACAAAGCTCAGAAAAATCTGAAAGTACGCAAGAAATGTCGTTAAAAACGGACCAAACTGCCCTATTAGACCGGGCACTCGTGATCGTATTCCCAAGCCTTTTACTAATCAAAATTGGGTAATATTACGAGAACAACCGCATCGGCCCGTCTTTTGACTTTGATGCTGCGGTTCTAAATAATACTTTGTGTGATATAAGCAAGACTGGATACTCAAACTTTTAAATTATCCTTCAACTTGTCAGCTATATACAATTATGTACATGCTATGTTGCAAGTCCGGTACTATTCTAGACCCACAGAAGTATTACGTGGCTAATGGATTTGATGTCTGAACTGATCCATCTTATATGCTACATGGGTATACTCGATGTCCATACCCGTAGCATTTACTCACGTGCATCTTCAATGTAATAAGGTTGTAATCTATTACGTAGTAATTTGGCATGGTTTGCAACCGACAGTAATAAGTCACCTGCACGATGGACTTGGTATAGACAGCGCAGTAATTTACACCCACGCATCAGTATTCTTGCGCGACCCACTATAGCCCGTCACAATGGCCACAGGACATCCCACGTCAATCCAGGCACAGCATTGTAGCAATGATCAGGCGAATGTTTGTACCAAGTGACTTGCACCTTCGTATGGGCACACAACAATATTTGCTTTTGAGTTACATTATCTAGACCATTAACTAGATAAATCCATCCTCTCCTACTTTTAATCGTCAACAAAAAGGGGAAACACACAAGAGGCAGTTAAGCCAAAAACCAGAAACATCCATTATTCATGGCCTTGCTGCTTCCCATATTGGGTAAAAATGCATAAGAGCCATTACATAATTTATAATTCAGGAGCAACAAATAATTAATAAACAAACATAAATCCGCAGTCGAAAAAAAACTTTAAAGAGGGGAAGAGGATCAGGTTGCAGAATCAAAGCCATCCATAACAGCTCTCTGGATGCCGCATGAAAGATGCTCTGGTTTCGTTAATTAATCACCAGCTCAATTCTAGAAGGCAAGTTTCCCTTGAGCTGTTGCTGAGCACGCTCTCTAGGTTCCTTCACTTTTTTCAACCCGCCCGTGACATATTCTTCTTCACAAGGATTCACCACTAACTTCTCTAGAGCAATGGCATTGTCGATAAAATAATTCACTAGTTCAAGATCACAAGATCGACCATAATAGTTATGAAATTCCACCACCTTTAGGTATCGATGTGGAGGTCCAACAACTCTTTTCAGTTCCCTCTGTCTGCACAGCATGTCCATCGGGTACATCAACTGTGGCAAAAGAAGAATGCCGTATATGAGTAATCAACGCAATATATCGTTGCCTTGGAGAATGCCCGTAGAAGAAAGAACTTGCAAAGTAGAGTATGTCCGTGTGGATGGTCGCATCTAGTAGATACTAGTCACATGATGTCGCAACAACGCGCCGGTGAGAGAGACTCCAATAGGATTCAATAGTGGCTGGGTTCATTAAATCCGATCCTACTGCACCAATCTAACGCCTAAATAGATGGAGACTTGAATGAGGCCCGAAAACCCACCTCTACTACAAAACTCCGCAAGCAGGGAAATGCCTCGATCACGGGAGTCAAGGGAAGTAGACTCGAGTCTCCAAATACCTCAAATCTCAGTTCCAATTGCTTGACGTTTGTTAATTTAGGCACTCGACGTAGATGAATCCATAGTCTTTCCTGCATTTTTGAGAGAGATAGAGAATCAAAGGCGGCACATATCGTGATAAGGAAATAACTCATGAAACCTTAGGAAAGATCAGTCAGTGCTCTTACCGGGGATGGCATAGAAAAGGAAAGCTTAAGAATCCGCAGACAAGAAAGACTTGAAAGCAGAGACATGATCAAAACCACTCGTTCCGCAAAAAATCCTTCAATGGACACCTCAGACAGCCGGGGGACCTCGTCCAAACACCATCGAATTTCATCTTCTATTCCTTTGTAAGTGAAGGACACTAGATTCGTGTCATAAATCTCGACGAGTTGAAGATCCTCACAACATCTTATGCGCAAGTATTTCAACTTCAGTGATTGGCCAGAAACTCTCAAACTTTTCAAAGCACGAGCTTTTTCCAAAACCAATTTCTCTAATACCGGACAAGTGGCGAGCAATTGCTCAATGAGTTCTCCTTCCACATTTACTCGAAATAAGGAGAGCTGTTCAAGATACCTACAGCCAACATGCCAAGAAATGGAAGGGCTCGAGCCAAAGTTGCCGAGACCCGAAGCCCGCCGTGAACACCCTACATCAGCATCTATAAGTATCTCACGCCCTAACAGATATGGCAAGCAACTAGGGTCACAATCAGGCTTAAAATCCCCGTAACACGCGGGCATGAAATATAGTTCAAGCACTTTAACTTGTTTTGCCAAAGCAAACCTAATCCAGCGATCGATGCGAGACTCGTAAGAGATATTCAGGTCAAACCGTAACGCGAATCTTCGTAAAGAGTGCTCTCCTCCAGTTTGACGATGCACGACATTGTCCACCCATTCCACATATCTCGCCCTCTTCTTTTCCACCCACTCGGGGTTTAATTCCTGCTTCTCCAATAAGTGCAACCAGTCGAAATCAAGGTCGGTGAGAAGAGAAGTATACAAGTGCCTCCATCTCCTGGAAAGAACACAAGTCGCTTGTGCTTCTCTAGATGTCAATCGAGATAATATACGGTCTATAACTTGTTCGGGCAAACAGCTGATCCGATCCTGGATTGAGTTTCGCCAGAAGAAAAAAAAAATTTAAAAAAAAAAAAAATCTGGGGAAAAGATGCAGGGAAAACAGGAAGCAGGAAAAATTCAACGACAAACATACAAAAATAACAACTCTAGCACAACAAGACCGAATCCCTGGTAGAAACAACTGGTATGTATCGGACATCAACCAAAAAAACTCAATAATCCGAGACCGCACAAAACGCAGAGAGACAGAGAGGTGTCTTCTTCCGACCAGAACCATGCTGAAAAACGAAACTTTACAAGAAGAATACGTTACCTTATCGTCAGATTCGGCTTCAGATTCAGAGCGGGGCCTCTGTGGAGATAGAGAATCCATAGACGACAGCTCCAGTTTCGGCTTTCGCAGAAACCCTTGAGTTCCTCTGTTTGAGTATGACGGTTGAGTCTTGACAAGGGTCATCCAGGGTTCAGATTGTACGTCATTTCATGGGAAGCACGGGCACGTATCAATCATTGAATGCCGTGATCTGCTCTTTCGCTTTACAGATTTCAACTTGGGCCACTTTTTAAGATAAGCAAATAAGGGTTATGGACTGGGTTGTTCTGGTCCAGCGGAATAAAATGCCCTTGTACAAGACTGCTCGTCTTTCTCTCTACGAGGCCTTATAGACTTGCTATGTAACGATGCCCTTTTAGACTCCGGACAGATTAGGGAAAGAATCCCACTAGATTAAATTAAATCAGATAAATTTAACTTACTTAATTGATCTGAATCTTAAAAAAAAATAAAAAAAAGAAGAAGTAGAAAATACCGAACATGATGACCTAACTAATGAGTCTACCTACGTGAACACTATTATCCTAACTTAATTCGTAAATATTCATAATATAATATACATTGAGAAATCGGCATAAGAAGTTTTTAGCCAATCGAATTACGATGGGACCTTTTGCGTAGTTTCTTAAGTGCTTATGAGGCGATAATCCATGATGGCACAACCCTTTTTACATAGACGTTGGGGATAATTGTTCTAAAAAGTCATAACATCTGTCGTACGGCGGCCAATGCAATCTTCAATCTTTCAATTGTGCTAGTTTAGCTAATACCTTTCGACGTTTTGCCAGTTTAGTTCTAAACCTTTCTCGACGATCACGAATGAAAATCCGTATAATCTAGCGATCCGGACATTCGATTTAAGAAAATTGGCGGTTGTTCTAAAGATGTCCCTATCTCACATAGATCAAATGTCATTGACCATGTCCTAAACATGCGTGAAGTTCAAAAAGAAGAACCTTGCTTTAGAACGTCGCTCTTAATCTATATGAATTTCGTATTTAGCCATACAATGGGATATGCATTGCATGCTTTTAATTAAGAAAAGCATTTCGTACACCAACCGTTTAAACATTTCCTGCTTTTCGAAAAGTTAATTAAGGAAGCAAAAATAATAAAATGAAGAGGCACGATCCATTAAGTAACATTGCATAGACGATACTCCAAACGAAAAACGAAATGATAGATGTGGGAGTGGGTTTCCGAAATGTTTTTTTTTTTCAAATTAAATACAAAAGAAAATGATAATCGAGTACGTGGAACTTTCAGGATTTTTTTTTTTTTGTGAATAGAGATACTTCTATTTATAAGACACCATCATCCTACATTCTTCAATGTCGTCTTCTCTCTCTCTATTTTTTTTTTTTTTGGCGATCACACCTGAGAGCATGTGACATGTATGGACTAATAAACTAAAACAGGTCTCTAAGACCAAATCTAACAAAGGCAATACAATTTAAGGACACGCTGTTGGTGGCTATGCCCCTTCCTTCTTTTTCTTTTTCAGACTTTTTTCCCCTTTTTTTTTTCTTCTTTATTAAGTTCTTAACACAATCATCAACATAATTTGATAAAAGTGGGTTGATGACGGAAAGAAAATAATTATAGATGATAAACTAAAACTTTAAGGATCCAAAATTAAAATTTTGAGTCATTTCTCTTTGCGGATCGACAGAAAGAAGGAAAAAAAGAAAGATAGAATTTGAGCACTTAAAGGAGAAACTCGATTGAATTTGCCTCCGCTTGTCTCTGGTCCACCGCACCAAAAGTGAGATCGAATTCATCCAATTTAGCTAAATGTCACACGACAGCAGATATCTTAAACGAGCCGCGTAACGAATTTTTCAAGCATATCAAAAGGACACTTCCATAACAAAATGAGCCTCATTTGGGGTTTCAGGTGAAGTTGCCGCTAGGGCTGAGGCCTCTGGCTCTCCCAATGGGCCCATAGCCTACCCAAAATTTCCGAGCTTTTGGTGCTAGACCAAGAAGCCAAAAAGCTATGTTTGGTGACGTTTTTGTTTTTCTAATTTTCCGTTCTTTTGTTCCCAGGAATATAAAAAAAAATGGAAATCCGTCTGGTAACGTCGGTTAATTTTTATATTCTCCGGAATAGAAAAGTGGCCAGGGAATAGATTTGGAATAGAAATAAGAACTAAAAAAAAATATACTTTTCTGTTCCAAGAACAAAAGGAGAAACAATAGAAAAACAAGATCGGCTCTCTCTTTATCTTTCACAAGACATTCCCGTGCTAAACCCTAAAACCTTAACCTTAATACCCAAACCCTAAAACCCTAAACCTTAAATCCTAAAATCCCAAAACACAAAACCTGAATCCCAAACCCCTAAATCCCAAAACCCTATACCTTAAACCCTAAAACCCTAAACCCCAAACCACAAATCATAAACTTGAAAACCGAAACCCTAACCCTAAAACCCTAAACTCTAAACCCCAAACCCCAAAACCCTAAACCAGAATCCCTAAAATCCTAACCCTAAACCCTAAACTGTAATTTCCTTGACCACCACCCGATATTTATTTTGTCTATAAGGAGTAATTTTTTTTTATGATTGTATTGAGGTCATCCAATTTTATATCATAATATATTTTGATTCTATTTCAAGTCTAGTTTTATCCAAATATGGATTGTTAAGTCTCCACTGACATTTTTGTAATTAAATGAACAAATTATGAGTAGAAATTTATAGGGTAGTACCACAAAATTGGACTAGAAATAGAATCATAATATATTATGATATAGAGTTGGATAATCTCAATACAATCATAAAGAAAATTACTCCTTATAAATAGTGGTCGAGGAAATTACAATTTAGGGTTTTAGTATTTGGGGTTTATGGTTTGGGATTTTGGATTTTCGGTTTTAGGGTTTGGGGTTTAGGTTTTCGAATTTAGGGTTTAGTGTTTTGGGTTTTAGGATTTAAGGTTTGGGGTTAGGGTTTTAGGGATTCGGATTTTAGGTTTTAAGGTTTAGGATTTACGGTTTAGGGTTCGTGGTTTTGCTGTTTAGGGTTTTTGGGTTTGGGGTTCATGATTTTAGGGGTTCGGGTTTTGGGGTTTACGGTTTAGTGTTTGGGGTTTAGGGTTTTAGGGTTTCGGGTTTCGAGTTTTGGTGTTTAGGGTTTTATGGTTTGGGTATTGAGGTTTAGGGTTTTAGGGTTCCGGATTTTGGGATTTAGGATTTAGCATGGGAATATCTTATGAAAGAGAGAGGATCTTGTTTCTCGTTTTGTTCTTGGGAACAGAAAAACAGACTTTTTTTACTTTCTATTTTTGTTCCAAATCTATTCCCTGACCTACTTTTCTATATGGGGAATAGAAAAAATAACTGACATTACCAAACGGATTTCTGTTCTTTTTCTATTCCGAGGAATAAGAACAGAAAAATAGAAAGACTGAATAAATGGCCATTCCACTCAGTCATGGCCACGGTTCGAAACCGGCCGGTTCCGGTTCGTGGCCATGTGTGAACCGGAACCGGCCGGTTCCGATTCCGAACCAGCCGGTTTCGGTTCGTAATTTAAAAATTAAAAAAAATAAATTATGAAATAAAAAATAAATAATTATAAAAATATGAAATAATGAATTATTCAAAATAAATTATAATCAAAATGAAAATTGTAGGGGTGATCGGTTCCTGATCGAAACCGGGAACCGAACCGGTAAGACCGGTCTTTTAATTTTAGAACTAGGAACCGGACCGGCAAACCATAGAATTGGGAACCGGACCATTGGTCCGGTCCGGTTCTAGGCGGTCCAATGGAACCCTTTGCTCTTAATTAGCAAACGATCGTAGCCACAAAAGGCATACAACTTCACATGCTCATGGCTTGGCTTGGATTTTATAAACAACCTCTTTGATGGTTTCTTCATTCCCATTCGATGTGGGACTCTTGGCATTTGCATGAAGACAAGTCAAGAGTCTCATATTGAAGGCGTTCAAGGCAAACCGAGAGTTCCACATCGAATGGGAATGAAGAGACCATCAAAGGGGTTGTTTATATATAAAACCCAAGCCAAGTCTTGTAATTAGAGTTCAATACACCCAAGCCAAGCATTGCAATTGGAGATCAATGCACTTACAATGCATGGCAATTAGAGTTTAATTTGTTTTATAAAAAAAATTAAATGATGAAATTTTTTTTAAAAAAAATTTTCATTATTATTTTTAAAAAAAAATAATAATTTGGAACCGGAACCGGGCCTGTAGGCCACGGGCCGGTTCCGGTTTTGAACCGCGGGCCGGGTCAACGGGCCGGACCCGGGTTTGACCGGGCCGGTTCCGGGCCAAAACCGGCCCGTGGCCATGACTAATTCCACTTCTCACCTCCGGATCTCGTCAGCAGTCGCCAAAATAAATCTTCTCCGTCTCATACTCGTGCTCACTTTAATATTTGAGTTAGGCTTGCAAAGTATTCTACATTTTAATGTTTTGAACATACTCATCCTCATGGAAACTAGTTAATAGCTTAATTTCGTCAATTATCATGGGAGAAGAAATTCGTGTTTTTTCTTGTCAACATCCGATTTTGTGAAGTTCTTACATAGCATTTATGAAAATAGCATTTACCTTCTTACGCGTTCATCGGATGTAGGCTTATTGACATGTTAAAATTATTAAGTCATACATACTGACTCGCCCAAGATAATATTGTCTCTAGACAATTATTTTGCTTACAACCGGATGTTGGATTCCAAGCGTGCATGTTGCATATCCTGAGAGAAACAAAAAAATCTAAAAGGGTAATTTTTATTACTGATTGGCTAACAAGTGCGTAGCATTTGGTTAATTATCAACTTATGGAAATCCAATTAGATTGGCTAGCGACGCCATCACTACCAACTCTTAATTTTGAACGTGTGCATAGTTGGCCAAAGCAATAAAGTACCGAATAACAGGGGAAAAAAAGAAAACAAAAAACGTAATAAAAAATTGGATAAAATTGCAAGTATGCATTTTTTCTAGGACCTAAAAAGTATTTCAATCTTCCAAGAAATAAAAACTCTCATCAATAATTCGTCTGCTTCAGAGTGAAAAGAGAGACAAAGAAACGAGCAGTTCCAAATCGAAAGAGCCAAGCTAGTGAACCGAGTTCTTCTTGTCCCAAACTAAAAATTAGTGC